GGGCGGGGCGGGGCCGGGGAGACGCCGCTGCCCTCCCGCGCGCCGCGGAGATTGAAGTCGCTGGAAACCTCGTGCGGGAAGGACTCGGGGATGTCGCCTCGCGGTGGAGAAGAGGACCCTGAAGCCCCGAACGGGCCCCGCGGTAAGAGAACAGGATGTGCAGAGTAATCGCTGCCATAGTTGTGCCTACGGAGCGTTACTTGTCGGGAAGCTCTTTTCCTTTACCGAGCGGGCATTCGCCGCTGGGACCAAACCGGGTAGGTTCTTAACCCCGTTTGCAGCTTGGGTAACAGCTCAGAGCCGGGCTCGCGCACGGCTGAGACGTGCTCCTGGCTGTGCTCCTTCCCTTATGCCCGCCACCTACCAAAGGGCCTTGCAGGAGCTTTTCCTTTTCGTGGCTCTTCATTCACTCACTGATTTCCTGAACACCACGCTGTGCCAGGCCTAAGGACACCGGGGAAACAGTAGGGAAAGAAAGCGGAAAATAAACAGGGAAAAACACAGAGTTTGAGGCGCTAAGAAGAAAGTGAACAGGATACTGAGGTTAGATAATAGCTGGATGTGGGGACTCTTTCCTCTTAGATGATCAGGGAAGGTCTCTCCGGAGGTAACAGTGAAGCTGAGAGCTCTGAAGAACTGGAAGGCGCTGACCATTGGAGCTACAAGAAGGAGATTTCTGGGCACGTGGAACAGCAAGTGCAAAAGTCTTAAGGTGGAAGTAAGCTAAATGTGTTCCAGGAACAGCAAGAAAGTCAGGGTAGCTGGAGACAGAGAACAGAAGGAGAGCGTGATAAAAGATGAGATTGGAGAGGTGGATGGGCTGTATCATATGTATCCTTAGGAGTCATGGTAAGGATTTTGGATTTTATTCTAAGCCATTGGGAGAGTTTTAAGTAAAGAGTGATGTGTTCATGTTTATGTTTTAAAAGATCACTCTGCTGTATGCAGAATGAAATATTGGCAAGCAGGAATGAAGACAAGGAGAGCTATTAAGAGGCTATTGGAGCCCTGGCTGGTTTGGCTCAGTGGATAGAGTGTCTGCCTGCAGACTGAAAGGTCCCGGGTTTGATTCTGGTCAGGGGCACATGCCCAGGTTGCAGTTTTAATCCCCAGGGGGCAGCGTGCAGGAGGCAGCCGATCAATGATTCTCTCATCATTGATGTTTCTCTCTCTCTCTCTCTCTCTCTCTCTCTCTCTCTCTCTCCCTCCCTCCCTCCCTCTCCTTTCCTCTCGGAAATCAATAAAAATATATTTTTTTAAAAAGAGGCTATTGGCCAGAACCGGTTTGGCTCAGTGGATAGAGCGTCGGCCTGCGGACTCAAGGGTCCCAGGTTCGATTCCAGTCAAGGGCGTGTACCTTGGTTGCGGGCACATTCCCTCTCCCTTCCTCTCTGTAAAAAATCAATAAAATATATTTTTTTTAAAAGAAAAGAGGCTATTGGATGAGGTAAAGTTTCACTTTATGCACTGAGAAAGGCTGAGAGAAGAGATCCAAAGCAGTCATGTAAAGAAATTGTTTCTTTTTTTTCTCAAATGAAGCTTCTGCCAAATTGGCTGTCCAACTGTCTACTGTATCCACTTTTAGCAACTTGAATTTTAATTAGAAAATAAAAAGTTCCAATGTTATGTAAAAAAAAAAAAGAGAGAGACTATTGGAGCCCAGGTGGGTGTGGCTCAGTGGTTGTGTGTCAACCCAGGAAAAGAGGTCACTGGTTAGATTCCCACTCAGGGCATATGCCCAGGTTGCAAGCTCCATCCCCAGTAGGGGGCATGAAGGAGGCATCGGTTGATGATTTGTGCATGGGTAGGCTCCCTAGGCCTGGGGCCTTCCGACTGGAGTCTTCCTTCATTCCACGCCACCCCTGGTGGTCAGCACATGTCATAGCGAGCAGTTGAACTCCCAAGGGGACACTTTGCATATTAGCCTTTTATATAGAGAGATAGATGTGTCTCTCTCTCTCCTTCTCCTTGGATGAAAGAAGGTGAAGGGATTAGCCAAAGGACATATATGCATAACCCAAGGACACAGACAACGGTTTGGAAGGGGGCCAAGGGCTGGGTGGAGAGGGGCAAAGGGAGGGATGGGGACATCTGTAATAGTGTCAACAACAACAAAAAGAATAAATAAGTCTTTTAAGGCACGAAGTTTTGGGGTAATTTGTCATATAACATAGATAACATAATGTAGATTTTTGGTTCCTGGAGGTGGGTGCTGTCATAACTACCTAAAATGTGAGAGTGGTTTGGAACCAGGCTATGGACAGAGACTGGAAAGATCTTGAGTGCGTTAGAAAAGCCTAAATTATCTTGAAGAAACTTAGAAATCTGGACTTTGAGGGTGCTGCCAGTGAGGGCTCAAAAGGAAGTGAGGGACACATTATTGGAACTGGAGAGAAAAGGACCCTTATTGCATAGTGGCAAAAGATTTAGCAACACTGTCATCTGTATGTGGAAAGAGAAAGTGTTTCTAATGAACTGAGTAATCTAACTAAGGCAATTTCTAAGCTGAAGGTGCTGCCTGTTTTATTCTTGCTGCTTATAGTAAAATGTGAGGAGACAAATGACTTTTTAAACAATAAGGAGCCAGAACTTGGTAGTTTTGAAATTTTTAAGTCTCTAGGTGGCAACCAGTACTGAAATTAAGCAGTGGCTTTCAAGCAAAGTCAAACCCAGGACACCACAAGGAAAATGTGGTCTGTCTGTCTGTCAGGCTGCTGTAACAGAATAGCCCCCCAAAAACCATGTCCTTCTTATATGCAAAACACATTCCCAACACTCCAAAAGTCTTAACTCTCCAGCATCAACTCTTAAGTCCAGAGTATCTACATATCATCTAAGTCAAATGTGTGTGGAACTCTACGTATGAGTCATCTTAAAGCAAAATTCCTCTCTAGCTGTGAACCTGTCAAACAGATTAGCTATGTGCTTCCAAAATGCAATTATGGGACAGGCATAGGATAGACATTTTCAGTCTAAAAGGGAGAAATTAGAAGGAAGGCACGGGTTGTGGGTCCTAAGCGAGTCCAAAACCCAGCAAGGTGATTACCATTAGATCTGAAGGCCCAAGAATAAGCCCCTGGGCCCTGGCCGGGTAGCTCAGCATCATCCCCAATACACCGAGATTGTGGGTTCAGTCCCTCGTCAGGGCACATACAATAATCAACCAATGAATGCATACATAAGTGGAACAATAAATCAATGTCTCTCCTCTCTCTCTCAAATAAAATTATTTTTAAAAAGATAATCTTTAAAAAGCAGCAGCAGCTGCCTGGTGATGCAGATGATGCCTGTTGATTCTGGACGACTCTGTTGAACGAGTGTAGACATCTCCAGGGTGCCCATCACCAGCGGCTGCTGCTTAGGGAATGGGTACAGCTACAAGTGAGTGTCATGTGACCTCCATCTTCCAGCCACAGGTGACTGACTTGGGAATGGACATCAGACCCAAGCTGGTCCATAAGAGTCTCCTGCGAATTGAGACTGGAACATTAAACCAGTCGTGGATCGTGTTGTCCAGGCGGAGGCAGTCACTGTGGGCCTCATGAATATTAAAGTGGGGAGAGTCAGTCTTCAGAGGGAGGAGAGGAAAAAGGAGCAGTGTTCCTGTCTCTCTCTGCACTTCCTGTCCCACATCCCCACCCTCCAAACATCTTCCTTTCATTTGACACTTAAGAGTGACATCTGCATGCCGCCGAGTGGTCACTGTTTTTTTTTTTTTAATGAACATGTAAGTTGTTTGAAGTTTTCTGCTATTAAAAATAGTGCTCTTGCCGTAACTGGTTTGGCTCAGTGGATAGAGCGTCGGCCTGTGGACTGAAAGTTCCCAGGTTTGATTCCGGTCAAGGGCATGTACCTTGGTTGCGGGCACATCCCCAGTGGGGGGTGTGCAGGAGGCAGCTGATCGATGTTTCTCTCTCATCGATGTTTCTAACTCTATTCCTCTCCCTTCTTCTCTGTAAAAAATCAATAAAATATATTTTAAAATAAATAAATAAATAAATAAATAGTGCTCTTTCCTAACATGTTTTGCACACTTGTCCAGTTGTTCTCTTGGATAAATCTTTAGCAGCGGATTCCTACTGGGAAGGTACCAAGAATATATGAAGTTACATTCTCCTATAGTGTGAAAGCATGCACTGGTTGGTTGGTTTTTACCTAAATCTGCTCCTCAGAATATATCATAGTAAAATTGGCAGTCCCTGAATAGAAAGT